AAACTTCCATTTCTGAAGTCTTCCATTTGTGTGCCTTGACTACGGTCGAATGCATTGCTGCGGTGTATGTCTCTAGCAATCTGACCACAATATCAACACTATCTTGGTCCTATCACCACCGTATATCAAGGTTTCATCATTGTTTGTGTGACAAAGCTCACTCCCAGGCCCACTGAGTGCCACAATGTGCGAATCCTTTCAGTGCTCGCCCCACAGTTGAAATAGGCGCCCACTGCAATGCTTGAAGACTCGCGACTTCGGGGAGCTGTTTTTGAACCGGCAATTGCTGCTGAGCGTCTATTCACGTTTTTAGCCTTTTTAAGCTTTAGGCATCAAGCATTAGACTATTAGGCCTTTTAAGCATTTATGCTTCTATGCAAGGTTCCGTTCCTTTGGGTCCTTCTTATCAGCTGATCAGCGTCTAGATAAGAGCAGGCGCACATTATCTTTCCAGCGCTTATACATTTCCTTTTCTGGTTCATCTTGTGACTCCTTGGTACGTCACCACTCTGCGGTGGCCCAACGGCAGTCTAGTCCTTATTCTCTATCTCCTCAGTATGTCACCGGCTTGTCAGCGGTCTGACGGCAGATCTTGTTTCTTTCACATTTCCTGATTAGTGCTGGCTGTGCTATCCTGCTTTCCTATCACTGATTAATCTAGAACCCTTAGCTTCTAGTGCCCTTAATGTGCCTGACGCTCAATCACAATGAGCTCGCTATTGTCTCCCGTGTGATCCGCCATGTACTGTTGTCAAGCGGTGGTCTTCCATTCCTCGGCAACTGTCTTCCATTCTTTGATGCAAGGCGACCAGTCCTGCTGCGGCTTCTTGATTTCTATGCCAATGGAAGCTATTGCTGCGGCAATCCCTGATTTCTATTGTCTTACTGCTGTGATTTCCTTTCTTGTTCTTTGGCGGTGATATTCAGAATTTCAATGCTTCCTGAGCCTATTGTGCTTAGCGTCGGCGGTTCTGCTTCAAGCTCCGGTTGTTCGCATGCTCCACTTAGTGACTTCCTAAGCACAATATATACTGGTCCCTTCCTCTGATGCGTTCTTGGGTGCCCTTCTTCTTCTTCCGCCCCCTTACCGCCATGTCTGACCTACTATGCCCGAGGGGGTGCTCGGGCATGCCGGTGTCTTTAGGGTCTGCACACGTACGTTGTCCTCCCTTCTTTTTATGCCACACTTCCTACTCTAATGTTTGTCTATAGGTAGGCCAAGCGATGGACCAGACTACATTCGCTCCGTGTGCGCCTGAAGTGGCGGGCTAACTTATGTTCTTTCTTTGACGGTACGTCGTTCTGACCTTTCTCCTCCGCCTCTCTATCTCACTATATCCCCATGTTCCAGTCCCTTCTTTCCGCGCCTTCTGCTGGTGTGGAGTATACACGTCTCCGCTCAGTGCACAGGTTGCGCCCTTATCCTTTTACGTCACGACTATCACGATCTTTACGACTACTATGCAAGATGGCATCAGCGTGCATGAGTACGTCTCCCTCCCTCTTTACTATCAGAGCCATGGTCTAACATGCTTGTACATTCTCGTCCCTTATGTGCCTCCATCGTAGACTATAGCATCTATTTGAGTTAGGGGTGTATGGGACTTTTTACATGTATAGCTCTTTTAATCGATTCTTTTGAGTGGTGAAGAGATATATCGTTCTTGCATGACTGTCCCGGTTGTGGGAAACGTGCTGCATATATGTTTTATGTTCGTAACTCAGTCTCCTTGCTCATTTTAGCATCAGGTCCTGTTGTGTGCGACTTGCGCAGCTCAAACCCCATCTCGGCCATTGACTGGTTTAGGTCATGCATTGTCATACGTGGCCACTGTCGCCGATACTGTGTGACTGCATTGTCTTCCTCACTTAACTCGCTTGACGTTTCTGAGCCATTACCAGATGACAGTCTATACTCCTCATCTTCTGCAACACGTACGCGTTCTGACTTATGCGGGAAGTATACCATATGAAGTATACCGTGCCCTTCTCGATATTTGCCATTGACCTTGATTAGGACACTGCGAAGCAGAAATGACTCCTCATCCTTAGTGATCTTTGGTTGCCAAACTTTATCAGAATCTAGTTGGTCGGCTTCAAATGGCTCAATAAGATCGATCTGTGGCTGATTTGGAATCTGATTACGGGTTTGGCTTTGCTGACATAATTCAAATAAGCGGCAGTATAACCGATTCTCTAGGTTAACCTCTGTTGTTGGTAATTCTTCCCATGGCAGTTCGCCTGTGCTGGGGTCGATCCTCCAAGGGTTCCGCTCCTGACCAAAGTCCTTAGTAATTGCCAAATTCAACTCAGAGCTTGGTTCATCATCTGCCTCAACTATGTTTGCTGC